CTTGTTGCCCAGGCTGGAGTGCAATAGCACGATCTTGGCTTACTCCCACCTCTGCCTCCTGGGTTCAAGCGAGCCTCCTGCCTCAGCTCCTGAGTACTTGGGATTACAGCTGCCCACCACCACACCCAGCTAATTTTTTGTATTTTTAGTAAACACAGTGTTTCACCATATTGGCCAGGCTGGTCTCAAGTTCCTGATCTCAAGTGATCCCCCCAGCTCAGCTTCCCAGAGGTAGGATTATACGCGTGAGCCACCACTCCTGGCCAGGATCCTTCAGAGATGAAAATTGTCCCCAACACAGAACAGCTTTGCAGGGCCATTTCAAAATACAGGAAAGAAACACGTTTTGGGGTAAAATATTTTTATTTTTTTCCTTGTCTCATAATGTTATACCAAAGTCAAGTTGTAAAGTAAATCATGATATATAGGGTTAAATAAAACCCATCTGATGAGAATTTATGATTTGCAGGCCATGACTTCCAAGACCCCTTAGACAGGAATTTGGGCAAGATAAAAAAAAAATCAGAATTTAGTCCTCAAGTCACTACTTACTTTTCAAATTTGTCCTTGATTATCACCAAATGTTCACGGACAGGAGTATTTCTCCCACTTCTAAGTCTGTTTTTCCAAAACCAGTGAAAAATTTTTAACCAAATAACTGTAGTTTGCAGCCAGGTAGTATCTTTCCAAGTGTCCCAACTGTTTAGTTACAGTTCCTAAGCATTAAGTACTTAAATAAGCTAAGCTAAGGACTCAACGAGAATGAAGACACAACGTACTAGAATCTCTGGGACACATTTAAAGCAGTGTTTAGAGGAAAATTTATGGCAATAAATTATAGCCCACATCCACATGAGAAGCAAGGAGAGATCTAAAATCGACACCTTATCATCAAAATTGAAAGAGCTAGAGGAGCAAGATCAAAAAAACTCAAAAACTAGCAGAACACAAGAAATAACTAAGATCAGGGCAGAACTGAAAGAGATAGAGACACAAAAAAAACCCTTCAAAAAACCAATAAATCCAGGAGCTCGTTTTTTGAAAAGATCAACAAAATAGACAGACCACTAACCAGATTAATAAAAAAGAAAAGAGAGAAGAATCAAATAGATGCAATTTAAAAAATGATAAAGGGTATATCACCACCGATTCCACAGAAATACAAACTACCATCAGAGATTACTACAAACAGCTCTATGCACATAAACCAGTAAACCTGGAAGAAATGGATAAATTCCTGGACACCTGCACCCTCCCAAGACTAAACGAGGAAGAAGTTGAAACCCTGAATAAATGAATAACAAGAGCTGAAGTTAAGGCAGCAATTAATAGTCTACCAACCAAAAAAGGCCCAGGTCCAGATGGGTTCACAGCCGAATTCTACCAGACATACAAAGAGGAGCTGGTACCACTCCTTCTGAAACTATTCCAAACAATCCAAAAAGAGGGAATCCTTCCGAAATCACTTTATGAGACCAACGTCATCCTGATACCAAAACCTGGCAGAGACTCAGCAAAAAGAGATAACTTCAGGCCAATATCCACGATGAATATAGATGCAAAAATCTTCAGTAAAATACTGGCAAACCGGACACAACAGCACATCAAAAAGCTTAGCCATCACTATCAAGTAGGCTTCATCCCAGGGATGCAAGGCTGGTTCAACATATGCAAGTCTATAAACATAATTCACCACATAAACAGAACGAATGACAAGAACCTCATGATTATCTCAATAGATGCAGAGAAGGCCTTTGACAAAATTCAACAGCGCTTTATGCTAAAAACTCTCAATAAACTAGGTATTGATGGAACGTATGTCAAAATAATACAAGCTACTTACAACAAACCCACAGCCAATATCATACTGAATGGGCAAAAACTGGAAGCATTCCCTTTGAAATCTGGCACTAGACAAGGATGCCCTCTCTCATTATTCCTATTCAACATAGTATTGGAAGTTCTAGCCAAAGCAATCAGGCAAGAAAAAGAAATAAAGCGTATTCAATTAGGAAAGGAGGAAGTCAAAGTGTCTCTATTTGCAGACGACATGATTGTATATTTAGAAGACCCCATCGTCTCAGCCCAAAATCTCCTGAAACCAATAAGCAACTTCAGCAAAGTCTCAGGTTACAAAATCAATGTGCAGAAATCACAAGCATTCCTATACACCAATAACAGACTAAAAGACAGCCAAATCAAGAACAAACTGCCATTCACAATTGCCACAAAGAGAATAGAATACCTAGGAAAACAATAACAAAGGATGTACAGGACCTCTTCAAGGAGAACTACAAACCACTACTCAAGGAAATAAGAGAGGACACAAACAGACGGAAAAACATTCCATTCTCATGGTCAGGAAGAATCAATATCATGAAAATGGCCATACTGCCCAATGTAATTTATAGATTAAACGCTATCCCCATCAAGCTACCTATGATCCTCTTCACAGAACTGGAAAAAAACCACCTTAAACATCATATGGAACCAAATGAGAGCCTGCATAGCCAAGACAATCCTAAGCAAAAAGAGCAAAGCTGGAGGCATCACACTACCTGACTTCAAACTATACTACAAGGCTACAGTAAGCAATACAGCATGGTACTGGTAACAAAACAGGGATATAGACCAATGAAACAGAACAGAGGCCTCAGAAGCAACGCCACACATCTACAACCATCTGATCTTTAACAAACCTGACAAAAACAAGCAACGGGGAAAGGATTCCCTGTTTAATAAATGGTGTTGGGAAAACTGGCTAGCCACATGCAGAAAGCAGAAACTGGATCCCTTCCTGACACCTTACACTAAAATTAACTCCAGATGGATTAAAGACTTAAGCATAAGACCTAACACCATAAAAACCCTAGAAGAAAACCTAGGCAAAACCATTCAGGACATAGGCATAGGCAAGGACTTCATGACTAAAACACCGAAAGCATTGGCAACAAAAGCCAAAATAGACAAATGGGATCTAATTAAACTCCAGAGCTTCTGTATAGCAAAAGAAACAATCATTAGATTGAACTGGCAACCAACAGAATGGGAAAAAAATTTTGCAATCTACCCATCTGATAAAGGGCTAATATCCAGAATCTACAAAGAACTAAAACAGAGTTACAAGAAAAAACAAACAAACCCATTCAAAAGTGGGTGAAGGACATGAACAGACACTTTTCAAAAGAAGACATATATGAGGCCAACAAACATATGAAAAAATGCTCATCATCGCTGGTCATTAGAGAAATGCAAATCAAAACCACATTGAGATATCATCCCACACCCGTTAGAATGGCAATCATTAAAAAATCTGGAGACAACAGATGTAGGAGAGGATGTGGAGAAATAGGAACACTCTTACACTATTGGTGGGAGTGTAAATTCATTCAACCATTGTGGAAGACGGTGTGGGGATTCCTCAAGGACCTAGAAATAGAAATTCCATTTGACCCAGCAATCCCATATATATCCAAAGGATTATAAATCGTTCCATTATAAAGACACATGCACATGTATGTTCATTTTGGCTCTGTTTACAATAGCAAAGACCTGGAACCAATCCAAATGCCCATCAATGATAGACTGGACAAGGATAATGTGGCACATATACACCATGGAATACTATGCAGACATAAAAATCGATGAGTTCCTGTCCTTTGTAGGGACATGGATGAATCTGGAAACCATCATTCTCAGCAAACTGACACAAGAGCAGAAAACCAAACACCACATGTTCTCTCACTCATAGGCTGATGTTGAACAATGAGAACACATGGACACAGGGAGGGGAGCATCACACAATGGGGTCTGTTGGGGGGAATAAAGGAAGGAACAGCAGGCGTAGGGAGTTGGGGAGGGATAATGTGGAAGAAATGCCAGATACAGGTGATGGGGGGCTGGAGGCAGCAAATCACATTGTCATGTATGTACCTATGCAACAATCCTGCATGTTCTGCACATGTACCCCAGAACCTAAAGTGCAATATATATATATATATATAATTTAAAAAAAAAATAAGCTAAGGACCATCCTCAGTTTAACTTTTTATCTTCAATTTAAATTTAGAGTTTAAAGATAATTAAACTCATTTTTAATTTTTTATCTTCAATTTAAACTTACATCCTTGGTTGAAATCAATTCCTTGCAACCTGAAAACTGTGCTATAAATAAAAACAATTTTTTAAAAAACCTTCAAAAAGAAACATAAATTTTAGAAGTCAATTGTATTCACTCAATTGTATTTGTTTAGAAATAATCAGACGTAATACTTGTTTCTTGCACATTCTTGCCCTGTTTCCTCACCTGTGAAATGGAGATGATGATACTATCTACCTAATAAGATTGACCTAACATTTTTGTTAATATCTGTATGTTAGCATTAGCTTCATTTTTTTCACTATTTGTATTTAAACGAAGATATTTTTCTTTAAAAAAATTAAAAAGTGCTGGCTATTCTAGGAGTAATACTCATTCCAAATAAACTTACAGTGATCTTTGAAGTGGTCAAGCACTGGATATTCCTGTAGAAAATTAATTTTCTTTCATTTGGCATCGGATAAGCGTATGTTGGAATTGGTTCTTCCCCTTTGGGAGACGGTCAGTCCCTCTCCTAACAGAGTATTACTACCCACTTTACAAGATTGTTTTAAGAATCAAGTGAGAAAATGTGTGTGTTTATGAAGGGTTTATGAATTTAGAGCTCCAAGAATGATAATTACAGTAATATTGTTCATTAATTCAAAAACCATTTTTAAGGATCCCTCACTACTAGGGGTGCATAAAAGTTGCTAACCCTCGGTCTTTGCCCAGCGTTAGAAGACAAACAGAGGGAAAAAGACCAGAAACACGTTCGAACCAATTCAGCTAGGAATTAAATTCTCAGAACCTTTATTACACCACCGGAGCCTTAACCTTGAGGCTAGCAGCAGTCTGTTCATGCGCAGTTAACGCTCCCTAAACTGCCGCTTGCTCAGCTCCGCGCCCAAGGTTCCTACTTGTGCGCCTGCGCCGTGACCTAGCGTGAGCGCATGCGCTAAGCGGAACTGGCTAGTTTGAAAACCATGGCGTGGGTACCAGCAGAGTCCGCAGTGGAAGAGTTGATGCCTCGGCTGTTGCCGGTAGAGCCCTGCGACTTGACGGAAAGTTTCGATCCCTCGGTACCCCCGAGGACGCCTCAGGAATACCTGAGGCGGGTCCAGTGAGTGATTTGGCCCTAGGCGGGTGGGCTGGTCGTCTGCCCTGCCCCTGGGTACAGCCCCCGGTGCCCCGCTCGACCTGCGTTCGATAAAGTCCTGTTTCTTCCCGTTCCAGTCTCTTGCGAGTTCGGGTCTGTTCGGGATTCTGGATTACATCCTTACGTGGGCGAGTTTCTGTTTAACATGATTGAACGTACCAAGATGTGTGATCTTAGATTTGTTTTCAATCCAGATGATTTCAGAAATATATTTTTTAGTACGTCAAGTGGAAGTCTGAATTCTTTTTTTCTAATTTCACAATAAACTGTGGAAATGGATCGCTGGTTTTACTACACCTGAGCACAATAGAAATTTAATTTCTTGCATTTATTACTTATTTGTAGGATCGAAGCAGCTCAATGTCCAGATGTTGTGGTAGCTCAAATTGACCCAAAGAAGTTGAAAAGGAAGCAAAGTGTGAATATTTCTGTGAGTTTTATTAACCGTCTGGAGATTACCCCCAACCCCTCAATTAAAAGACTAAGGCTCTTCCTATAGTATCCGACAGTATCAATTATGGTGTAAGATTTGACTGCTCCCTGCAAAGTTAGACATTCGCTTGTACTTTTTCCTCCAGAAAGACAACAGGCATTTACTGCCTCTAAAGAGGCTTTTTGTAACTCTAGCATTTGTGGAGGCTTGCCCATCTTACTTCAGGGACATTATCCAGTCCTTTCAAAGGAGGCTTTAAATGGGTTACTTAGGCAATCTTCAATTTTTTCTTGTTTGTTTACAGAGAGGGAGTCTCTGTTGCCAGCTGATCTGAAACTCCTGGCCTCAAGCTATCTTCCGGCTTCTGCCTCCCAAAGTGTTGGAATTACAGGCTTCAGCCACTGTGCCTGACCCCTTTATTTATTTATTTTTTGAGACAGAGTCTTGCTCTGTCACCCAGGCTGGAGTGCAGTGGCACGATCTCGGCTTACTACAAACTCCGCCTCCCAGGTTCAAGCTATTCTCCTGCCTCAGCCTCCCGAGTAGCTGGGATTACAGGTGCCCGCCTCTACGCCTGGCTAATTTTTGTATTTTTAGTAGAGATGGAGTTTCACCGTGTTGGCTAGGCTGGAACTACTGACCTCAGGTGATCTGTCCACCTCGGCCTCACAAAGTGCTGGGATTACAGGCGTGAGCCACCGTACCGGGCCCTCCTTTTTTTTTTTTTTTTTTTTTTTTAAGGAACCTTTTCCAGTTATTGGATTGGTGTTTAATCCTAGTGTACTTCGCGTGTTCTGAATTTGCTAAAGTTTCACTTTTTGTCACAATAGAAACCCAGCTGTCTTACACTTTTACAGCTAGTTGCACACTGTGGACATTTTCGTTTATTTATTTATCCAGCACATTTTATGTTAAGCAACTAGGTTGTGCCAGGCACTGGGAACATAACAGGATAAGATAAAAAAGGATCCTACCCTTGTAGACAGAGAGTAAACAAGCAAACCAATAATTACATATTGTGACTATTGCTATGAAGAAAATAAGCATATGTAATAATCAATAAATGACAGAACTGCGGTAGATAGAGGAATCATAGAAGAGGTCTCTCTCTTCCCCCCCCCCCCCCCCCCCCCTTTTTTTTTTTTTTTTGAGTCTTGTTTTTTTGCCCAGTCTGGAGTGCAGTGGTGTGATCTTGGCTCATTGCAACCTCTGCCTGGGTTCAAGAGTCTCCTGCCTCAGCCTCCTGAATAGCTGGGATTACAGGCATGTGCTAATTTTTGTATTTTTAGTAGAGATGGGGTTTTACCATGTTGGCCAGGCTGGTTTTGAACTCCTGACCTTAAGTGATCTGCCTGCCTCAGCCTCCCAAAGTGCTGGGATTACAGACGTGAGCCACCACACCTGGCCAGCGAAGGTCTTTCTAAGGAGATGCTATTTACCCTAAACTTAAAGGAGGTGGCATTTTAAATTGTTGATAGTAATTTCCTTTTCATATTCAATTTCTCTATCTGATATTTATAATCAGAAAATTTTAATTCAGACACTATAATGTTTCCTATAATTCCTCTTCAGGATTTTTTAGTTGGTTTATTTATTTTTTTGAGACAGAGCCTTGCTCTGTCACCCAGGCTGGGGTACAGTGGCACAGGCTCGTCTCATTAGTTGATGTCCATTAGTTGAGGGACATTTAATGGAACAGAATGTCTTATATACCTAATTTGATAGATGGATTGATTGATTGAGACAGGGTCTCGCTTTGTTGCACAGAATAGAGTACAGTAGCACGATCATAACTCACTGCAGACTCGAACTCCTGGGCTCAAGCCATCCTCCCATCTCAGTCTGCCCAATAGCTGAAACAACAGGCATGTGCCACCATGTCCAGCTAATTGTATTTTTTGTAGAGACAGTCTTGATATGTTGCTCAGGCTGTA